TGTGTATTCGGAGGTGGCAGGCTAACATGCCTAAATAGCCTCTTGGACCGAAGCGAGGGCGGACCCAGCGACACGTGACCCGCCGGGTACTAACAGTGACACTCTACAGGCAGCTATCCACAAATACCCGATCAGCTAAACCCAATACAGCAGACTAAACATAGAAAAAGCCGAAAATTCGCCCCAGAAAACAAGCCTAAAACGTGACATCAACCCAAAATAAATCAGAAAAAATGTACCTACCAAACGAAACTCTCCTCCTTATCGGTCAGCATATCGACCCGCTCATCAAAAAACCAAATTATCTCGAACTCGCCCGTGTCTGTCGCCACTGGTACTCTCTCTTCACCCCTCAGCTCTACAGTGATATCCGGATAGACGCGTCCCAGCTTCCTGCTCTGGTCAGATCTGTCCATGAAAATCCGAGACTGGGCACTTATATCCGAAGATTCATTCTAAGATGGTGGGATTCATGGGACGAAGAAGAAGGAGATTATGATCCTGAGCTCCTGCGCTTCCTGGCTAAAAAAGCAAGCCATTCGCTAGAAGAAGCAGAAAAATGGAAAACCAGTCTGAAAAAGACTAATACCGACGCCTGGTTTGCTGTATTACTGATGTACATGCCTAATATGACTACCTTGGATATCGATCATTCAGGAAATAGTGACTTTGTCAAACGAATGTTGTGTCGCGCAGCGTATCGAGAAAAGCCATTCGACAGAATTCCAGGATTGCAGAATCTCGAAACAGTGCGAATTCCCAACGAAGACCGAAACAAGGCTTTTTATCCAGCATGTGAAATTGTCCCATTCTTTCACCTCCCGAAAGTACGGTTCTTGCAGGGGGAAACCGTGATTGAGAATGAATATGACAAGAGGGATGATCATCCAGCTCAGAAAGCAGCCAAAGGGACATCACCCATCCAGAGAATCAAATTCAATAACTGCAATGGAAGGAAGGGGTTCACTGAATTCATCGCGTCCTGTGCAAATCTCCAAGAATTCGAATATCAACATTCCAATCAGGAGATTTGGGGCGAGACTTATATAGGATTTCGGCCGTGTTTGTTTTACAAGGCGCTTCTTACGCAGAAACACAGTTTACAAGTACTTCGATTGAATGATGGGGGAGACCATGAAATGACTGACATGGGGGAAGAGGGAGAGGAAGAGGAAGACTCACATCCAGACGACTGGTTTGGATCATTGAAAGAATTCATTTATCTGCGTGAACTACGCATTCGAATTCGCAATTTATTCGACTATGGCAGGGAGAATAAGACACCTTCTCTTTCCTTACAAGAAATACTTCCGAGCAGTCTGGAGTACTTAGTCTTGGCAAACTACGATGTCCTTCAATACTCTGTCATCAACAGCAATCTACACGAGCTCCTATCTCGTCGCGAGGAGTTCCCCAATTTGCGGAAAATAGAAATCCAACCAGGCGAGGCGGAAAGAATCTATCCTGCAAAAAGTGTGATTTACTGGAAAGATAATTTCCAGGCTCCAATTGGTGCTCGGGAATCGTTTAGAGAAATTGAGAGGGTTTGTGGGGAGGTGGGAGTTGAATTTGGATATTGTTTTGGGGGTATGATTCGTGTACTATCATAATGGGTTAACTAAGCCTACCATAAAAATTTTTGGTTGTATTACCCTTAGAAACGTGTGTAACACAACATAGAACCAATGGCCACTAAAGCAGTACTCATCTTAGACTTGTCCCACGGTCTTAGTTTGACTTGACCCAGCCTAGATTCCTGCGGGTGCTTTGCCACCACCAACAATCCAAACCCAGAGCGAGTGAAGCTGATCGTGGTGACTGTACACTGCTGATCAATTTTGGGAAAGCGCCGCACTGGCACAGTCCAGCAGAATAACATACGAACCCAGATGTAGCTAGCTGACAAACCCTTGGTTTCCGTCTTAAAATACGCATGTTCCAGTTTTCCTAGTACACTTGGGTAGTCTCTCCTAATTATCATGATAAATATTAGAGAGTAATAAAATAGGGCTGTAAATAGAAGTGAGAGCTTCCGTATATTAAATTGTCTATAATTCAAGTAAATAAGTCGTGGTTGCCTGTAGTTTTAGGGTTTATGGCAGATGGGATGTTGTAGCGAAAATATAAATTTCATATTGATGACAATGTATCTATTCTCTGCTGAAGGTCTTCCACGTTCACTAGATTCAATCTGTGTATTATGCGCTCCAACCCGGTTTGATAAGTGCCTAAAGCCGTAAATTTTCGATAAAGTACATGCAATTTTGGAAAGCACAGGATTAGAAGTTTCGACTCGTTTCCTTGAGCTGCAGTGAGCCTCGTCCTTTTTGAGGCCGATTCAAAGTTTTATGGATGTCAACTTTCTCACCACTATCTGTTTGCATGAGTACGCCTTTGAACCCAGATATATCGAGCTGGAATATTTATGTCCAATTGTGTTATTCTGGCTTTCTCTTATACTCCTGAAAGACGACCACACACATGCCGCACGGAGACTACATGTAAAACACAGCCACAAATCTTGTAATTCCCAACCATTGGAAATAAGCCGCCCAACAGCCTGAGAGAGCAGAATTGCCAAGCCAATGCCCTAGCTTACAAGGCATACACAGACAGCAAAAGGAATATGGTTACAATAGACCATCGCACTGGTGATGCTGCGATGCCAGTGCTTCAGGCTCGCCTTCAATAATAAAGAAGGCGGGGCATTGCAACAAGGATCAATATATCAATATCTAACTATTCTCGGAAAGCAAATGTTGGGAACGCGCTCCGGGCTTATGGTGAATTGCAAAAAGGAGTGAGATGTATATTATACCATATAAGACGAGAGAAGATGAAAGAGTATCATTCTAAAGAGAGCTGCTGGGCTAATTATCGAAATGCTGAAGAACTCAACGGAAGCCGACCACCTTGTCTGCAATGTCCTTGTACAAATCTGCTGGTTTTGAACCCGGCGACCATGTCACCTCATACCTCTTTGTCTCTCCTATCCACGCTACATCAACCGAGAAAACAAGCGGCTCATTCTTAGCGAATACCTCGGTGCTGGCCTTGACGACAATGAGCGTGATCCGGGGCGTTGCCTTTTTGAGCGCTTCGACAACTTCCTTCGCTGCCTTGGTTTGTGCATCGATACCGCTTTTGATATCTTTGAGGGCTTGCTGGATAACTTGAACTTGCGCAACGACTCTGTCATGGTCATTCTTCTTGTTCCGATACGCATCTTCGAAAGGCTTGAGCTCGATCTCTTGCTCAAGCTCCAAAATGCGCGACTGCACTGTCCTCTCGTGGCTTGTTATTCTACCCTCGTTCCTGTTAAGTGCATTAATTGCCTCTTGGAGGTTAGCTTCTAACTCCTTGCTCTTCTTCCAGAGCTCATTCAGTTGTTTGATTTGGCGATCTAGCTCAGTTCGTTCGTCCCTCGACATTTCTTCAATATAGCCATAAACACCTTTCCTTGTCAGCGAGTCCAGTGCTCTACCGAACTTGTCGATTTCTCTGACGGCATCATTGATGCCGCTTTCAATTTGCCTAAAGAGAGGAGTGCTCGCGATTTCCTTTCCAAGTTTGAGAATCTCGTTGTTAATATCCCGGCGGGCTTTGATTTGCTCCAGGCCGACATTAGCTTCTTGGAATTTAAGCCACTAATTCCCGCACAACATGGTCAGCCAGGATGCAAGCACGGCGATGAGACTGTTGGAAAAAAAAACTCACAGTCGGAAGCTTATCAAAAAATCCAGCATTCACATGAATTGTCCAGGCCTGTTCCTTCCAGACCCATGCCTGATGCACTTGGTCTGAAAATCAATTGTTCGTTAGCAGCGTTTGGAACTCGAGAATCGTGAGAAGACACCTACCTTCCCACCAACGCCAGCTCCTTTCTGCATTTTCGCTGTTTCTCAGAGCATCTCCCCATGAGGCTTCCTTTTGGTCTTCAAGACTCTTCTTCTTTTTCTCCCAGTCCGCCTGCTTTTGCCGTTGCTCGGCCACCTTGTTCTCATATTCAGTTGTCATTTCTCGCACTTTGTTATCGAGTTGACGCTTCACACTATCTCTTTTTATTTCCTTCTTTTTAATTTCATCATTGATCTGGTTCTTTTCAGCCCGGGCATCTTTGACAGCTTCGGTATATTGGTCGAGTTCGTTTCTCAACTTGGTCAGTTCGTCGTTCTTTTTATTGACCTCCGTTTGTCGCTTTAGGACCTCTCCATCCGACTTCAGCTTCAACTCGTCTAAATCCTTTTTCATAATGGCCAGTTCGCCTTCGTGCGTATTAATTTGTCCCTGAAGGTCATTGATGGCGTCGTCGATGGTTTGCGTTGCAAGTTTTCCGATCGCATCAATTCCGTTGTTAATGCCATCGAAAATTGCACCGAAGAGGTCAGGCCTGAGCTCTGCTTCAAATCTGACCAGCAGCCCGTCCAGTGTCTTGGTCTCGGGGATCCTGGCCTTTGCCTTCATCTTGAAGGAAAGTTGCTCCAAGAATTGGATAGAAACATCGGCATCCAGACGTCTTTCCTGCACATCGGCGTCAATGTACATCTTCAGGTGCAAAGAATGAAAACGGATCATCCCATCAATTAGGATCTTCTGCGTCTCCTTCGTCATTGAGATGTCTACAGACGCCCGTTTCCCATCGTCTCTGGCAGATCGGAGTTCAAGGCCACCGATGTTGAAGTTATCGACGCCTGCTTTGATCATGAAACCGTCGTCGTTGAGACGTCCTTCAAAGTCGCCTTTCTTTTTGAGAAACTCCACACTTCCTTTGATATGGATACCGCGTTCATAGTAGACATCAAAGACATTTGCACCCGTTGAGAGATATAGTTCCAAGTCACGGAAGATGAGAATATCATCAGCACCTTCGATGTTTTTTAGGGCCTTAATATCAGCCATTTCCCCAGCGAGCTTCACAAGCTCCATAATATTGATTTCGCTGATGTTAAAAGAAATGACTTGGTCCTTGCCAATGCCTAGACTTAAAGCCATGTCTGCCTCGAACTCTTTGCCCACTCGGATCTTTCCTGCTGCCTCCAAACGACTGTTGTGTGTCAACAGAAAAGTCCAACTATTTCCGATGGGGATGAGTGATGTGACTTACTCTGGTCCGTGAACAACGACCGTCGCGTACTTGAATCCGGCACCAATGCCCAGTTTCGACACGACCACGTTCTTGTTCAAACTGAATGGGTTGACCCAGCTATCCTTCGAGTCCATATAGCTAAGGTAATTTAGTCAGCTTTCTATAAGCCCATTGGAAGAGCAAATTTGACGTACAGCTGTCCCTCGGCACGGTCGATGGCTCCCTTAATGTTACCTCTGACCCTGATTGGAGGCTGGTCGTCGAACAGCATTTTCAAGGTTGCGTTGAGCTGCAGGTAAGGAAGACCGTTGTCTGTAGCTATGGCAGCACCGAACTCGCCGAGTTTCGCGTAGTCGCGGAGAGGAATCTAGATAAAGTATTAGGACAGGAATCCCCGTTTTCGATTGACTTGGTGATTTTCTTACCTCCATAGACTTCGGCATGTTGATTCTTACCTCGAGCTTTCCATCGAAAGAGAAGCCCACTATTAACACAAGGCCATCAAGCTTTTGGTTGTTGTTGAGCTTCTCAAGTGCATCGAATTTCCGAATGGTTGCGCACAGTTGGACGCCTTAGTTTGTTAACAAGCCGCGATCGTTTAGAGATTAGAGACGATGCCTTACCTTTGGCAATAGGGTAGTTAAACGAATCCACCTTTGCGAGGACATCCCAGCTTGCTGGTTTTTCGTCCTCACTTTCTTCCTCACTCTTTTCCTCACTCTTTTCCTCACTCTTTTCCTCACTCTTTTCCTCACTCTTTTCCTCACTCTTTTCCTCACTCTTTTCCTTGTCCTTTTCTTCACTCTCTTCCTTTACTTTTCTCTCCTCTGATGAGCCAATCAGTGCCAGATTGTCCAGCTCCAAGTCCAAGAAACCCCCCTGCAGCTCGGGCCAAAGCTTGGACAATTTGACGCTCTTGACACTGCCGATGGCAAGCCACTCGCGATTCTTCTTGTCCTTCTTTTGCTCGACGTGAAGACCAACCGTGATCACGAACTCTTCGATCTTAACGATCCCGAGGATGGAGAACTGGCTTTCTCGCTTGGGCTTTGTGGGTTTATCATCCTCTTTCTTTTCTTCTGCATCTGGATCTGTTACTTCTTTCTCTCCATCGGTGACTGCTTTCTCCTCATTAACGGGCTCGGCTTTGCTGTTTTGCTTAGTGGCTCCAGGCTTGTCGATGACGGATTTGGTTGTCTTTTTACCCTTCTTGCCCTTGATTTTCTTCTTCTTGTTCTGGTTAAAGGCGACATAAATATTCAAACCTGCCTCTTGGATCTTGACGCTTGTATCGGGAATATTGAACTCCTGAATATCCCCGTTGATTGTCAAACCATCCTGATTAATCTTAAGCAGGGCACTGGCACTGGCATGTTCGTTGAACGTAACATGACCGTCCAGTTGCAAAGATCTTTCTGTCGTCTTCTCTTCCTTGCACTTCTTGCTGGACAGGTTGAGATGGAGATTCTTGAAGATGAGTTCGTTTCCTTTGGCTTCCTCTTTTGCATCGGTCTCCTCTTCTTCCTCCTTGGCCTTGGTGTCTGTATCCTTATTGTCTTCTGGTACTTCATAGCCGGCAATTTGTGCGTGAATCTTCTTGATCTCACTCAACTTGAGGTCGCCAATCTTGGCATCCAAGGAGTTCTCATCTGGTCACGAGTTGGTCAATGCTTTTGATGTGCCCAGAGAAGTCGCACTCACTCTTCGAAATCACCCCTGTAGCCGTAAAAGTTCCACCTCCCAGCTCCAAATCTGCCAATAGGTCCAGACGCACGGTCTCCTTGAATTTACCTTGTTCGAAAGATGACTTGAACTCGGCTTTTTTCAACTGAAAGTACCAAAAGGGTTAGCAGCAGAGTTTTCGATGTAGAAATCTCGACTTACCGAGACATTCTCGATACCGTAGATATCGTCCCACTTGTCGCACCAGATAACCACATTCCACATTCTCTTGTGCTCGCCATCCGACCATTGCTTTTCGGGCTTGCGAAGCTTTTTCGAGGTTTTTCCAACAGTTGTTTTGGCATCAACCTTGGCGACGGCTTTGGCGGGAGGCTGTGTCGTGTCTTTGTCGACTTTGGCATTCTTCTCTGTATCTGTTTTGTCATCTTTGTCACCGTTCTCGTCCTTCTCGTCCTTATCATCATTCTTTTCATCCGCATCATCTGCACTTTCGACGACCTCAAAGTCCCGACCAATGCGGTAGTTTAACTCGACAGGAGCATTGGCATGAGGAGCTTTGGTAAACATCAGCGTACCAAAGAAGCCAAAACCAAAGTTCCATGACTGCTTTTCTTTGGGCTTTTTCTTCTCGTCATCTTCTTCCTTGTCGTCTGCCTTTTGAGTTTCAGTCGCATCCTCAGCACTGTCCGTGGTCTCAGGCTAACTGGTGTTAGCTACTCTTTATTTCATAGTGGAAAGACTGGAGAATGAGATGGGAACAGCGTACCTCGTTGTCATTCGTTGCAGGTTCGGGTTTGTCAACAGCCCCAGACTTCGGCTTCTTCGATTTCACTTCGGTGGTGTCTTTGGGAGCGTCTTCAGCAGAGGTGTTATCCTTACCTTCCAACTTACCTTCGTCTTCTTCACCCTTTCCATCATCGTTACCTTCCTCCTTATTACCGTTCTTGCTTCTACCAGCCTTTGTGCCAGTAATCTCAATCCCCATAGTCTTGAACTGGAGAAGATCCCAAGTCTTCAACCCCATATCGTGAAAGTAACCCTGAAGAACAAACTTCTCAATAGTAGGCCGCTTAGTCCAATCTCTCTTATCTGCGAGATGCGCACTGAGATGGATAGACTTCGGGGTATCCTGGCCAGCGAACATGGACTTCAGCGCATCACTCGCCCACTGCATGCTGTTCTTGAGCTCAACGTCGGCTTCAAGGCGCAGTCCGGGAGGGAAGAAGGCACTTTGCTTCTCCTCGCAATAGGTAAACGCCAGGTTCGTGATGGGCATTTTTTGGAGGTCGATGTCGTTGATGAAAGGGAACAGTGTTCCCAGGGGCTTTCCTTTTAGGGCGTAGCTGTCCGGGTTGAGGATGACTTTTTCGCGGGCTGGTTCGGAATCATCTTCGCTGTCTACGTTGTCATCCGCATCGCCGTCGCCCTTGACCTTGTCGTCGTCATTTGCGTTGGCGTCGTCATTCCCGTTGGCTTCGGCGTCGCCATCCTGTTCTTCAACTCCGGACTCACTTTCCTTGTTTATTTTCTTCCCCGGGCCTTAACAATCATTATTAGTCACTGCCGCATTGAACTCATGCTGTTTCTCTACTTACCTTTGAACTTGTACAGTTTAGCTTTCAAACCTTTGATACCAAAAAAATTCTTGATATCCCCCGACAACACATAACCATCAAGCTCAGTCTTGGCAATTTCCTTGTCACCGCCAACACTGTCAGCATCCTCTTCGATCTTCGGGGTATTCTTGATTATATCAGCCAGGGCAACAGCGTCGGCCTGCGGCTGTTTCTCTACAGCAGCGGCAACCGCCGTCGTCGTTGGCTTCTCATCCGGCAAAAGCAAAACCGGAAGCTGATTTGAACGTCCTTCCGCCTTATCCTTTGGCACCGAAGCTAGCATCTGGGCTTGAACACCGGCACTCCCCTTGATCGGGATAACAGGTAGGCCAGCAAATGATGCCGCATGTTCATCAGGCACGACCAAGCAGACATTTTCCACGACTGCGCCTCCAATAACTGTCTGATCTAGGTCTGTAACCTTAAAGTCAGCGAGTTGACTGGTGGCCTCGTTGGGAGTGGGTGGTTGATCATCGTCACTCTCAGAGGAGGAATCTGGAATGGCTTCGGGGGCCTCGTCGGTTGGCACATCGGCGACAAAATTTGGGCGGTAGTCGAGTTTCGACTCATCGACTATCAGGTCAATGGATGGTAGAGGCTGGGTTAAAATTGAGGAGTTGTCAATTCCCTTCTGGATCTGGTCTGCCGTGAGGGCTTTAAGGGTCTCCATGGTAGACATGGTGAGTGAAGTGATGAGATGAGGGCGAGTTGAAGGCCTCAATTGCACGGCGAGCTCAGCTACTATATAGTGTTTGAACTCATGGCGCGATCGTGGCGGGCTGAAGAAACTTGGGCAAGAGGATTCGCATCTTATCACGAGCACCCTACTTTTTCTTTTTCTCTCCTTCCATCCGGATTAAAGCACCCGCGTTGGGCCCAATACATGGAGGATCCATTAACAGCTGGCAAGTGGGATCCACCAGCTGAGCTGCGGACAATGTTGCGTGCAATCTGTTCAAGGACATACGCAGCAACGTAAGTGTTGAAGATTTTGCAGTTTGCGCACCCATCCAATTGGCATTATATACAAAGTAAAAAGCCAGATACTACCCCTACGCACCTCCTAGTCATTTAGTCAGACCAAAAGGAACGAGCAATGAATACAATTGCCTATTTCTCCGCTGTCGAACTTCAGCTGAGCCATGCATAGGGTCCACTTTTCTATTCCAGTTCGAGCCAATAGAACAATTTCTTAGCTCTCAGCTGAAACTATGCATCTCGTCATAACATGCCCAGACATTTTCTCTGGTGATCCTCGATGATACTATTCCGTTGTCCTAGTTGCTGTTGACCTTGATGCCAAAACACAGAACACAGCGTCCTGTATATCGGAACTTGAGGTTTCGGATGTTGTGGTATCGTAAGTTCTAGGTACATTTTGGACTAAGATTCAGTATATCATTCTTGAAGCAAGTGTGCCAGAATCTCTGTAGAAACACATGCTTGCAGTCACACTATCATGGTACATATCATTGGAACTGCCGTACTCGGGATGTTTACCGTTGACTCAACCTCTGCTCAATGAGCGAAAAGGCAGCAGGTATTGAGCACTAAACTAGAAAAGGAGATTCACCCAAGCGTCGACAAATAAAGTTTGTACATGGATATTATTCTGTCACTACTACTGGCTTTATACAAAGCCAAAGTACCACTCAATCCATTTTGTCGAGACCGTGAAAAATGAGCACAGATCAGCTCAACTGGGAATGATGGGTCTTGTACTGAAAATATCCGTATTCCAAGGCTTGCATTTCACTTATAATTAACTGAATGACGGTCTTTTATGTTCACGAAGCAAGAAGGGGTGAATGGGTAATCAAATAGGAATCAGATAAATGGTCTGAGAGAAATGTTGTATGACGCAGATGTAAAATGAAGCATGCCCCCTTCCCTCAATGTTTCTAGGTCAAGATATATCTGCATATTTGTACCGTCGTTCCCAAGCTTATACACTCTGAAGATCATGTAAACATCGGCATTTGCTTGTTCATCATTTCCAAGTTTCATTGATTGCATCTGGGTTATAACTGATCTCAGTATTGTAACGGCTCAGCTCAGCGCCTTCATCAGCAAACATCATCAACACGGCAAACAATGTCATGGAAGCAACCAAGGCAAACAAGCTGCTTAGCGAGACCACACACAAACATATAGGACTTCTTCATGTAAATAGATTTGCCTCTTCTCTTTTCTTCTCCAGATTCGATATTCTAGTCAATGGCTACACTGGTTAGATAGGAATATCATTTCATT